CTGTTTGACAAAGTCCAGGTGAGAGAGGGCAAGGATTGTCATTTTGCGTACGTGCAAAAAGGTGCGAAATCGGATTTTGTTTTTTTAAAACCAGCACGATGTAACCACACCCGCCAACAAAAGGGAGAGGGTGTTCGGTCAATAACAATTGGTCGAATACAATCACGTGACCGCGGAAGAAGAAGGAAAGAAAACCTCGATCAATAACTGTTGGACGAGGCGGTCACGTGGGCTGCGGAAAGAAGAGAAAGAAAGGTTCGATCGGGAACGATTGGTTGAGAGCGATCACCTGACATGAGAGAGACTAAGAGAAATAGATATGCGCCGCCCCCCAAGAGCACTGTGAGAAAGTAAGGGGTGAAAACAATAACGATAATGGAAAGTCAAAATTAATACGGCTTTTGAAATTATCGAGAAACCCCTGACGCCGACCGACCCACCCCGGTTTGTTGCGGCGTCAATATAAGCAGGACCCCAGTCGGCAGAAATCAGTTGGAGCTGAAGTTGGAGCTGAAGTTGGAGCTGAAGTTGAGTTGAAGTTGGAGTTAGGTTGGGCGTGAGTTGCAGTTCACCCTCGGACGACAGAAGAATCCTCGAAACAAGAAATCCTTCCAGCCCAAGTTGAAGACAAGAAATCTTCCACTGAATCGAAGCAAGAAATCTTCCACTGAATCGAAGCAAGAAATCTTCCACTGGGTTGAAACAAGAAATCTACCAGTCTAAACAGAAGAAGAAGAAGAAATACAACTCAAGTCGGAGAGAAGAATCAACTGCGAATGATCGATAGAAATTAGCCCCAGTGTCGAACTGAACCACACTCCGACATACATACATGATTCTGGAAAGTAGGTAATTCGACATTTTCCTATTGTGTGATAGAAGCTTGGTGCCATAGTCCACAGAGCGGGTCGGGAATTGAGAACAATTTTGTTTTTATGTAACGGACTTTAAGATATAAAGGTTGTTACCCTTTTTATCAGCAATTTTGTTTGGTGTCGTGAGTTTTATTTTATTTGTGTTTTGCCACCCCCGTCGGACTCAACTTGTATCGGCCCCGATCCCTGCTGGTCCCGTCTGTCTAAGATCTAAACACAGCGTGGGTAGACAGACCGGAGATCGGTATAGTTGCTTTAGTGACCAGGTATTGGAAGCGAGTCGGGAAAGGCGAGGCTGGTGATCATCTGACCAAAGGGTTGGAGCGGCACGCTTGGACCCAGGAGGAACGACCAGGAGGAGCGACGTCACCGTTGGCGCCGTAACCAAAGGATCCGACACTGGGCCAGGTGTGTAACCGTCACAACCGTTTTTGTTTGTGGTCTTTAATAACAATATCTGGCCGGTTGGCCTTGATTGTTCTGTCAGTGTGTATTGTGTAATCCCATAGAATTGTAACAGGTCCTATCTCCGTAATCGGGTCTGGGTGGTGTTCATACCAGTTTCTTTCAGTTTTCTTCCCGTAGAAGTTGCAGATTTTCCAGTGCAGATATTGGCCCACTCTGTCATGTCGAGTTTTATATTCAGTGGGTGCCAATATCGTGCAACCTGATACAAGATGATCAATCGTTTCTGGATATTTATCAGAGAATCTGCAGTTTGGGCTGACGCAATATTTTAGTATATGTGCTTGATAATTCCTAGTTAGCAAGCATTGGTCCTGCGCAGCAAGGATAAAACCTTCAGTTTCCGCTTTCAACCCTGCACTACGTAGCCACTGATGAGTACGGGTTTTGTCTACGTCAGCTTGTTTGGTACGGACAGAGTATTGGCCATGAAGCGGTTTATTTCCATCGCTTCTGTAACTGGTCGGTTGCATTCGTCTTAGCTATGTTTTTTAGGTATTTTGCAGTTTCAGCAGGTGTATTGTGCTGTAGTTGCATCTCTACGCCCATTTGGAACTCCATTTTGAATTTGTTGGCTTCTTTCATTACGGAGTAGAGACGCTTACTACTTTCATGTTCCTTGGCGCATACCATCATCCAGTCTTCAGTAGTTTCCAAATATCTTTGGAGGTCAATTGTTGTAGTTTTGTAGTACAGTTCTAGTTGAACTAATCCTCTGCCTCCTTCGGATCTGGGCACATACAGACGGTCGACATCAGCTTTGGGATGATGCATGCGATAGCAAGTGAGTAGCTTTCTCGTTTTGGCATCCATTCGCTTAATTTCAGCTATGGTCCAGTTAAGGACATTAAAGCTGTATTGCACCACAGGGACAGCCAATGTGTTTATGGCTGATATCCTGTTTTTTGAGTTCAGCTCAGTATTTAGTACTAGACGTACACGCCTGTAGTATTCTTTTCTTATTTTTTCCTTCATTTGGGGGTGTTGTATGCCATCTCCTTCGGTAATTCCTTATAAGCTTCACCATGCTCCAGTTCCCTAATCTTTGTGACAAAATCTAAATCTATTAAGGGTGTTTCTGTAATTCTACCTTTCTTGAAAGTTACTTTTGCACATTTATCTAATCCGAAGTCCATACCTATGTCGTCACTGAAGTATTTTACAATATTGAGGAGACCTTTCAACTCATTGTCGTCTTTGGCAAATTATTATTATTATTATTATTATTATTATTATTATTATTATTTCTTCCTTGGATTTCTGTTGCATACACATTTCCTTCCGGGTCCCAACCAGAGACCTACAGTCAAAAATGGTTTCATGATATTATCCCCCGATCATTTTTTGTAATATTTTGTAATATATATATATATATATATATATATATATATATATATATAAACAAAAAATCTAAGATCACACATATTTTCCATAGATAAAGCTCTTAGTAATGTTTGATCTGTACTTGTGAGTACAATTTTTTGTATTTCTTTAAGGTATAGGTCTCCATGAATCCCTTCATTCAGTCTATCGGAACCTTTTCCAGTCAATTCACCGGCTCCATCTACGACTGGAATTACTAATGTCGTCATGAGTCACACGTCTTAGATATCCACTTCAAGATCCCTGTATTTTGATAGTTTTTTTTTAAAGATCTTCAGAAATACATTATAATCTGCTGGAACTGCCATCTCTGTAAGAAAACACATTCTGTTCTTGTAGTCTTTGATCACGATGTCTGACTGATTAGCTTTCATTGTTCTGTTATTATTATTATTAATAATAATATTGCTCTGTTAAGAATTTTCCTATTTATCCGTCTTCAGAGAATTCTGTTAGTCTAATATAATTTGATTGAGACTGCTTTCTCATGCGTTTTTCTTTTCTTTTTTAATTCCTAACGTTATTTATATTTAATAATAGCGTAATATGACTAACGCCCACACGTGTAGGGTAGACGGTGCAGATTAGACCCACGACCAGAGTAATGGTCTAGAGTCGGGGGAGTAGTTTGCTATGTTGAGGCGCTATGATTTTTCAACCTTTTTGCTAGAGTCATTCTTTCTCTTTTGGCACCTCATACTTTCGTTTTTACGAGTATCAATGATGACGAGAGACAGCCGCTTGACTGTAACAATAACAATAGTCTCAGTCCTCACTAGTTAACCATCTCTGACGTTCAGCGAAAGACAGAGTAAAAAAAAAAAAAAAAAACAACAAAAAAAACCCCCAAAAAACAAACAAAACTAGAGACTTAATATACAATTGTAAACTGATTTTTCGTTGGAAAATTAGATGACACAGAAGAGTAACACCAACACAATCAACTCTCGGAGGTTTGACGAATGTATTTGATAGAGACCCCTCTCCGACTTCATTTCCTACTTTATTCATTAAAGGAGTGAGGTTACCATAAACATTTAATGTATGTATTTGATAGATAGTTTCCCCTACTCCATTCACTTCTTTGTTCACTGCTTAAGTTAGGTTACCTTGAGCGTCTCATGGATATATTTGATAGATAGATGCCCCTGAAAAATTGTTTTTTAAATTCGAATAGAAAGATTTTATAAATTTCAACCGAAAGGCTGCCCGATTAATCGATGCCAAATATTTCCTTGCAAGGAAACGGCATCTTTGTTCACTGATGACGTTAGGATACGATTAAAGTTTGATGGAGGTATTTGATAGATGCACTTCATTTGCTTCTTTGTTTACTGATGGAGTTAGGTTACCATGAAACTTTGATGGATGTATTTAATAAATCGACTCCCCCCCCCCTTTATTTCCTTCTTTGTTCCCTTTAGGTTACCATAAGTGTTTGATAGATGTATTTGATAGATAGACTCCGCCTTAATATCTTTCTTTGTTCCCTGATGGAGTTAGCTTACTATGAGCCTTTGACGGATGTATTTGAAAGATAGACCCCCCCGCCACTTAATTTCCTTCTTTATTCACACATCAACCCGGATGACCATGAGGGTTTGATGGATGTATTTGTTAGATAGACTTTCCTTTAATTTTTTTCTTTGTTCACCTATGAAGTTGGGTGACCATGCGAATTTGATGGGTGTATTTGATAGAGAGCGTCACATTTAATTTCTTCTTTGTTCATTCATTGAATCAGGCTACTATGAATGTTTAATAATTATAAATTAGCAATTGAGAGAAGTACAGGATTCTATATTTCTTGTATCGTAATCTTGCTAGAAATTTATTATTATTATTAACAGAATTTTTCTGTGAATCTCGTAAGACTAAGTGTTACCAAATCACAATTATAATCGCTCTCGCCAGCATTCCCGTTGTGTGCTCTAATGAGCTACGACACTCACATTCATTGTCCGCAGATTATCAGTTCTCAACTGAAGATTTGATATTTCATCGTGATAAATAAATAAATAAATATCCCCAGTGGTTTGCTTGACATGGTATCATTATTCAACAACATAGCCTAGCTTCTGAGCTTGCGTAAGGTGAGCCGTTTTAAGATCAACATCCTAAACTATTTTTCCCTTTTTTTAAAGTAAAATATTAGTTTTCTGTTTGCGCAATTTATTTCTATGAGCGAACTTAAATCATTTGCATAATTTCCGGTAACTTACCGTCTCTATTAATGTCTCTTATTTTGGGCCGGATTCCTCCATTTGATTTATAAATATGTCTCACTTCTTTCATAGGAAGCAGTTGATATTTCACGATACCAGATTTATCTTTGCTTTTCTAATTTTTTTTCTATCTCTTTCATTTAACTGCTATTGTCAGTTTCTGTTTCGCTTTTCTGATGACCTCTGCGTAACCCTGGGCATGTCACTTCGCCAGCAATTCTCTTTATGCGTTTCATAAATTTTCAGTAGAGGTTGTTTATTTCTTTATTCATCTTTGGCTTCCGTTTGCTTGTGTTATTCATTTTTCTTCGCCTGATATTTATTCTGTTGTTGTTTATAGGTTTTAGTAGATTTTTTTTCTGTACATAACTCTTCGCTTGATATCATTATTCTTAGTAGCAGATGTGGAAGAGTATTATTATTATTATTTGTGATTGTTGTCGACGATGCAATACCTGTTTAAGAGGAAGGAGTTTGGCATGAAAGCCGTTAAAGAATAAGTTATAAATATGCTCTGCAAAGCACTTTTGAGGGAAACGAATAAACGAGAAGACCTTAAATGAACCGATACTTTAAAAAACAAAAGAGGAAGCAAAAAAAAAAACAAAAACAAAATCCGAAAAGGAATGCAAACATTAAGGACAAAAAACATGTAAAGCACAAATGATATAAATCTATGATTACATCTGTAACAAGTACATATACGCATAGCTCTTTACATATTTTACGCATATTCTGTGAAAAAACATAAATAAATATATATATATATATATATATATATATATATATATATATATATGATATGTTTCTGAATATATACAAATAAATATGTATGTGCACCAGCTTATGTTGACATGCATATTTTTTTTTTATATATATATATATATATATATATATATATGCTTTAGCGTATTGAAATATGCTTATATATATGCACACAAACACCCACTCATAAAGACACGAATATATATATATATATATATATATATATATATATATATATATATATATATATATATTCCAGTACATAGGCATACAAAATTTGCGTACACATGCACGCACACACACACACACACACAAATATATATACAATGGAATATATGTTTATATGTATGCTTTGTGTACGAACACACCAAGACGTGAATAGATATTCATACCTAAGTACTTATGCCTATGCATCATTAATCTTTATGTGTTCATAGTAACATTCTTTTTTTACGCACACAGGCACACAGACACACATATATTTATATATATACATATATATATGTATAGATGTTTGTTTGCATACGCTTATTTTGTATATATATATATATATATATATATATATATATATATATATATATATATATATATATCTATATATATATATATATATATATAGAAATGCATAAATTTTATCTGTGTACGCACACATGTCAGAGGTAACCGATTTTGCATATGAAAATGCATTTACAATTATATGAGCTTATGAAGAGATTTAATATATATATATATATATACATATATATATATATATATAAACACACTTATGCTGATATATATATATATATATATATATGAATATATATATATATATATATATATATATATATATATATATATATATATATATATCTATCTATATATATATATTTAAAGATATATCTAGATATATAAAATTTATCTATATATATATATATATACCTGTTTATGTTTGTGCGTACATGTATTTTGTGTGGTGTGTGTCTGCCTATCTCACTGGGTATATACACATTCTTGAATGCACATATGTTTCTATATATATATATATATATATATATATATATGTGTGTGTGTGTGTGTATGCATTTATGTATAAACGCAGATGCAAACGTATGTATAAAGTACATTGTTGAATCCTGAAGGCTTTATATAATTGCATATCATAGAAAAGGTTATTCATCCCGTGCCGTTAGATTGATAGGATCTTTCTGACAGCTGCCTACCGAGCATGCGTGCCACGTCCGTAATTTCGTTAAAAGGTGGAAGACTTTTCTCCAGAACGTAAATCACATTGCATGACGGTATTATCGAAAGTTCTCGTCTCATCTCATCTTATCCCGCTTCGTCTCGTTCAGCCCGAGATTTCACTCCGGCGGGTTTTTTCTTCCTTTCTTCCTTGTCATTTGTCCTTTGCTGTTATTTCATTTTATTTTATGTATTTTTTTTTATTTCTTCATTTTATACCGGCTTTTACTATCCTGCAGTACTTTGTTAGATGTTATCGTTTTTCCTTATTTTTCTACTTCATTAACGGATTTTTATTTATTTTTACGTTTTTCTCCACATTTATGATTGTCTTTTTATTTTCTTAATATTTGCTTAATAGGTTTCTCTCTTTCATTTTTCTTTTAACCTTTTCCTTTTCAACGTCATTCTTTTCTTTTTCAATTAGTTTCTTTTTTTTTTTCCCCCGCTTCTTCAGGGACTTCCCCTTCGCAGTAATTTATTTCTTCTTCTTTATCTTCAAATGATCTTTTTTTCTTTAAATAATTTTTCCTTTTCGGTATTTTATCTATCAATCGCTCTTCAACCTTTGACTTCTTCATTTTCTCCCCCTCCCACTACACTTTTATCTTAGTTCTTCCTTTTCTTAATCTCTCTTAGTCTTTGTTACTTATTTAGCCATTTCAGTTTCTCACGCCATTTTGATTCATATTATTTTCAGTCTTCACTTTTCAGCTTCATATCTTCAATTTCGCGCTTCAGCCTCCTCTATGGTTCTTTAGTTCCCCCCCTCCCTCACGTAAGTCTTTTCTTACACTCCCATACATTTTACTCTTTACCTTTTTGTCTTCTTTGTTATCTCACCCTTCCATCTCCTCCTCATATTTTTATAATCATTTTCTTTTTATTTATCTCTGCTTTTTGCATCTCCCTTAATGCTTGTATTCTTTCGATTTTTCCTCGTTGCTTATTTGTCACCTTTCATCTTTTTTTCTTACAACACTTTCTCTCTCTCTCTCACTCGACTTTTTCCATTCTCTTTTTTATGTCATTAATCTTTCTATTCCCCTCTCACTTTTATTATTACTCCAGTTCACACTCCACGTTGGATCGTTACAAACACCGTATTTTCTGTTTTTGTTTTCTCTGTAGCTCTTTTTCCCGCCATATTAGTTCGTATCAAAAGCAAAAGCGAACGCATATAAAGTAAGAAAACTCAATTTTCATTTATAGTTGATTAGAAGTTTTTCACATTCCTCTTTTAAATCACTTTTCCTGCATGCCAAACTAAATTCCATCCTCTCTCTCGTGGCTTCACAAATTTAGAATCTTTTACTTTAATTTCATTCTTTCACTTGCTCTTTCTTTCTTTCTTTCTTTCTTTCTTTCTTTCTTTCTCTCGTGGCTTCACAAATTTAGAATCTTTTACTTTATTTTTATTCTTTCATTTACTCTTTTCTTTTTCTTTCTTTCTTTCTTTCTTTCTCTCGTGGCTTCACAAATTTAGAATCTTTTACTTTAATTTCATTCTTTCACTTGCTCTTTCTTTCTTTCTTTCTTTCTTTCTCTCGTGGCTTCACAAATTTAGAATCTTTTACTTTATTTTTATTCTTTCACTTTCTCTTTCTTTCTTTCTTTTTTCATTCATTTTTAATTCTTTCCTTCTTTTCGTTATTTTTTAGTTTTGCAATTTTACATTTCATAAATAATTATTATATTTTCTTTCTTTAGATAACTTTTTCATTCCTTCATTTTTCATTCGTCTAATCGATTGCTCATTCTTTAATTTCTTCGTATTCTTTTTATTATATTTTCTTGCTATTTTGTTTTACTCTTTCTTTCTTTCTTTTTTTTCATTTTTCTTTCTTACTTTCTCAATTAATTCATTGATTTATTTCGTTATTTCTTTAGTTTAGCGCTTCATTAAATAACCAAAATAGATTCTTTGTTCATTTTATTCGTGCTATTATTGGTTCCTTAATTTTCAATGGACATTCATTTTTACACATTTTTTCTCTTCTTCCTTTCTTTCTTTCTTTCTCTCTTTCTTTCTTTCTTTCTTTCTTTTATAATTCAGTCATTCTTTTTCTTTTTGCTATTTTGCACTTCATTAAATAATCATATTTTCTTTCTTTAGAGAATTTTTCATTCTCTTCGTTTTTCATTCGTCTATTGCATATATAATTTCTGCTGACCATTTTTCACATTCTTTCTATTAACTTCCAATTTAATTTTCCACTTTCTTTCTTCTTCCTTTTCTTTCCTCCTCCTTTTCTTTCTTTCTTTCTTTCTTAATTCAGTGATTTATTTCGTTATTTCTTTAGCTTAGCCCTTCAGTAAATAACCAAAATAGTCCCTTATTTTACGTGATTCTTTTTTTATTCATTCTCTGTTCGTTTTTTGTTCCATTGTTGCTTCCTTAATATACAATGGACATTCTTTTTTACTATTCTTTTGTCTTTACTTCGTTCACCTTTTCTTTCTTTCTTTCTTTCTTTCTTTCTTTCTTACCCAGTCTTTGTCAGATTTACTTTTTCTCGCCACCATTCCTCCCATTCTTTCGTTTTCGACTTTCAGATTTCGTTTTTCTTTTTTTTCTTTCTTTGCTCCATTTATACCTGTATTTTTCTGCATTTCCGGATTCAAACTTTCTTTCTCGAGCATCTCACGTCAATTCGTTATTTTACTCTTGCTTCATTTATCAAGTTTTCCCCCTTTCGTTCCTCCTTGTAATTGTTATTTTGTATTCTAGGTTAATCTTTTCTTCTTTCTCTCCACTTCACATACTGCATTCTTTTTAACCATCCTTCATTTCATTTACTAATTCTTTTTATTTTTTTTTAATCTCCAAGACTCTCACTTACTTTCATCTCTTTCCTCATTCCCCAACATTTAATTCTCCCTTTTTCATATTGCCCATCACCGTCTTCCACAAATCTACTTGTTCTTCTCTTCTGATTACTTTCCCAGAATTCAGGCAATATGGCGTGTCTAATTACGGCCCTTAACTTCACTTTCCGAAGCGTCTCAAGTAAAACGAGTTTATTGCCTGGGTCGATCTACAAAAGGTCAAAGTTGAAATTGGAGTTCGAAGACTTACAATCTATTTAATTTTTTCATTTTTTTTTCTTTTTCTTTAATTTAAGAAAAACAGCTTAATGCTTTTGGTTTTCGAAAAATAATAATAATAATAATAATAATAATAATAATAATAATAATAATATTTATTTCCAAAAATGAACAGTAGGAAATGTCATGAAACCATTTCTGACCTTACCATAGGTCTCTTGTTGGGACCCGAAAGGATATCTGTATGTAATAGAAATCCAAGATAATAATAATAATAATAATAATAATAATAAATCGAAATCTCAAAAATATGGCACATGGAAACATCAACAATCTCCATTGTAGTTGGTGCCCTTGGATTTGTGGAAAAGATTCCAGTAGACTCATTGAAGGGATCCCTGGAAGCCCATGCCTTAAAGAAATACAAAAAAATTGTTCACACGAGTACAGCCCACACCTTACGAAGGGCTTTGTCTATGTAATTTTTTTATTCAATGGAATATGTCATGATGCCATTTTTAACCTTAGGTCCCTGGATGAGTTCAAATCAGAAATCAAAGAAAATAAAATAATATTAAAAGCACTGATATCACAAATGCGCAGCAGAGCAATCGCGAATGGATCCTAATAGACCTTGGGGTACCTTGGTATATAAAAAAAATCGTGATGCCGGAGCAGGCGAATAGATAAACGAAGACCCAGCTTGGTAATTCAGATAAATATACCATACCGTAGCTGGAGTTGTCTTTTTGTGTTAGGCGAACTCGGGACTATTTCCAGGAATTTTCTGCTACTCCCTGGGAATACCTGCTATCATTGGTAGTATACGCAGTTAGCAGCGCTGCTTGAAATATCTCATGGTCTGGGAAAAGTGTTGAGTCTCTAAACTGCGGGTTGGGGCTGAGATATTACCCTCATCATCTGGACAGAATATCTAAAAGTCGTATCAGGTAATCGAATCAAATAATAATAAAGTTGGAAATAACCCCGAGGTACCAATGCTTTATGTATCTCTGTTCATGAGCTGTATTAGTTGGAGAGCAGGACGACATTCGTGAACTCGTGCTTTTTAATATTATATACATTATGTATATAAAAAGCGCATATTTAATAAAATAAAATCGTGCTAGATAATAGGAGTAGATAAGGTTCGTCTATCGTCCGGTTCATTCTCCTCTCCAGATTTTGAACAGGATTAGAGGTTTATCCCTTGCTTTTTTTTAAGATTGAGTTTCCAGTTCCATTGAAAGTCTTTTCATTTTCTTTCACTGCCAGTAACCTTCTTGCGTCTTAGTGACATTATCGTCATGCTTGGGGTGAATTGATTAAAAAAAAGGAGAAGAATTTTTTTTTTAATTTATTATATAAACTGTATCAAAAATAGGAACAGTATTCTTTAGAGTCAAAATACCATTTTGACATCTCCCAGCAAACTTTGTTACCCTTTTAGTTTTCTATCATCTGACTATATTATATTCACCGGGAATGATAGAGACTTATCAATATGTTCATTTAAAAAGGCTAAGCAAAATTTAAAATTATTAGTCTTCCACAACTTCTTATTTTTTGCAGCTTCTAGTAAGATTTATCTTCTTGGCTCTCCCAATTCTTATCCTCCCATCCTTATAACAGGCTCGGTAGTTAGGGTATTCACAGCTTTCCTCTGTCCCACTTGCCTTTAATAAATCCTATAAGTGTCAAGTTTTCCAAGCCCTCTTTCCTCATGCGTCCTAGAAATTTCAACTCATTATTTCTAATGCTAAGTATAAGTGTATTTTTCATTTTCTCTAAAACTTTGTCGTTGTTCACATGTTCAGCCCATAATATTATTGTTCACATGTTCAGCCCATAATATTCTCAAAATACTTTCGTCTATCATGGGATTGTTCAACATTCAATGCCATGTAGGAGGACAGATCAGTTTCTTAGATCATTATTCGGACTATTGTCCTCATTTTTGTCGCCATATTTATTACAACGTTTCGGCCGTTGTACGCTCCGGCCTTCTTCCGGCGGTTGAAATGTCGCACTGAACCCTTTATTTCGCTCACTGGGGTAGACTGTTCTAGTTTCACGTGCCATGTTTAAACAAATGGAAATAAAGGGTTCAGTTCGACATTCCAACCAGCTGAAGAAGGCCGGAGCGTACAACGGCCGAAACGTTGTGATAAATATGGCGACAAAGATGAGGGCAATAGTCCGAATAATGTAAATAATGTAAAAAAATATTCCTTTGCTTAACTTTTGGAAGGCGTCGCATCTTCCATCCCTTTTAAAAACACATCTTATATATTATGATTACAACTGACTATAAAACTGTTTCAATTTAAGAAGCTTAACCCTTTCAGCTCTGCGATCCTGAACAATTTTAAACCTTCTCCCTTAACTCCTGGGTTAAAATTCGCAAATAATTGGTTTGTGATGTTTCACAGTAGATATAAAAAATAGTTACAAGTGTTTACCCACCGTTCGACCGGTGGCTGGGCATTAAGTCATTTTTCTCTACCACTGTTCAACCGGCGGCTTGGTATTACGTCATTTTTATCTACCACCGGTAAAGCGGAGGTCAGAGGTCAAAGGGTTAAGAAGATCCTTTGAAATACATTCATATACTTTAGTTCTGAGCTGAACGACCTGATAAATGATTGCGTCAAACTGTAAATAAACAGTTTCAGATAAAAACGCTACAGTGAAAGAATATGATAAACTCTTCTAATATGAGGATCTGGAAATTACAAGAATGTGGGGTTTATACACAACCATTATTTCAGTAGTACTAATAGTCATAGTAGTAGTAGTCGTAAGGGGAGGGGGATTGCAATGTTTCAGTAGAATACTTTTATTAAAAAATCCCAGGAAAGTCATTATTTGAAACGCCAAAACAAAAATGTGTTAATATATACTATTCACATAGAAAAACTCTTTCAATCCAACAAGCTCAATAGTTTCTAAGAAAAAGTCTTCATTTATCTTAGGTCTTAGTTGAAAAACTTGATAAATGATTAAATAGCAGATAAATAAATAAATAAATAATAATAATAATAATAATAACAGAAGGGATGTAAAAGGAGAAGTTACGGGTGCAAACACCAAATAATTATCAATAAAACATTACTAAAAGAGGTAACAACAAGGAAAGGAAACTTATCAATAGCATGAATCGACTACAGAAAGGCGTTCAGCAGTGTACCACACCCATAGAGAAAAGCCTAAAATTATACAGAGTATTCTCCACAACGGTCAAATGCATAACAGAGAGTATGAAAAAGTGGAAGACTACACTAAACCTAAACCATACAAACGGGTTATTAACATCGAGACCAATCAACATCAAAAGCGGGAACTTCCAGGGAGATTCATTGTCACCATTACTCTTCTGCCTTGCATCAGCGCCATTCAGTTGCCTATGGAACAACAGTAGCTATGGATACAAGTCACAGAATGGCAAAATGAATAACCTATTCTATATTGATGATCTTAAAAGGTTTGCCAAGGATAACAAAAAAAACAAAAAAACAAAAAAAACACCACTACTCAGCATTGTCAAAAAGCTTCTGCGAAGACATTAGGATAGAGTTCAGAATCGAGAAATGTGTCAAAGTCACCTTCAAAGGCGGTAAACTAACGAAAACTACAGATTTAGACCTTGATATCAAGAAGATTAAGGAACTAGACCAAGATGGTACATAAAAATACTTAGGAATTAATGAAAGAGACGGAATATAACATTCAATTATGAAGAATAAGATCTGAAAAGAATATTATAGAAGAGTGTGTTTGATATTAGAATTTAATGGGGCCAATAAAAAGGAGTCTATCAACACCTTAGTTATACCCGTAGTAACATACAGCTTCAACATTATTAAATGGAAGTTGAATGAAATCACGACTCGAAATTAGATGTTAATAGGCTGTATGTAACAAGAGCTTTAGAAGGCTGAAGTCTAATCCAACTTGAACTAACTCTAAAAACTGTAACATGGGATTGGACGCATACTTCACAAAAAACAATGAATCTCTCCTACAATTAGTAAAACATCAAATCCACT